GCCAGCCGAAAGATGCGATACGGAGGAGCGGGAGTTGTGTCTGCGTGTCACGCACGGTGATTGTCTGGCATTACTAGGGCTTAGAATGTCTCGGAACACTTGTAGCTCGGGTTGACTATTCAGTCGTTCATTTGTTCGCCGAGCTTGATAATCTGGTAGCAAACGTTTCGCCGCCATGCGTGATAGCATCGTCAGTGCGGTGATATGCGATAACCCTTATGTCACTTGACTTATCTAGTATGCCTACCGGAGCGGTTGGAAATTCACTTTGTAGTTTGAAGCGCCCATTATGAGCATATCACTTCGCATGGTAATGGAGCATACGCAACCAAATTGCCAAACTCGGTGACCAAATGATCCACTGGATTGTAAGTGTTTAGAAGTACAGTAACGAAGAATGAGCTCTGCCAACACCAACGATCCAAGAGTGTGAAGTCGCTGACAACAATAGGTGAGGTGGGCCATGCTCAGGCTTGTCATTGGAAAAAGCACGTCAATCTCCAAACGGTGCAATGGAATCGAGAGGGGAGCATTCCACATCACCGTCACTACAACTGGTAGTGTCAAGCGCAGCAACAGTGCTTGCTCACATCAGTGGAATAATGGAACATTGGTGTATTACGGATAAAAGAGCAATGCTTAACAAGTCCCGTGGGATGGAAATTATTGCGTAAATTAAATGGCATGGTAAAATGAAAAGCATTTTGGTGGACTCCTCATAGACTTATAGAGAATATGGTGGATGTTCACGTATTAAAAGTATAAATCCATAAATTCATTGGTTGGGAGTTTGGTAAGACACCGTTTGATTGCGTTTTGTAGCCCCTGGTTAACAAGCCACAAAATGAAATGCAAATGAGACGACGCATTGTCAACTCATTTTCTAACTATCGCCAGATTGGGAGCAGAGACGACATAATAGGAAGGACGTTCCAAGGCTGGCACACACGGAGGGAAAAGTCGTTTATACGGCATCCAACCCGGCTATACGGTATTTTCAATTTCAGAGGATGGCCTCTAAGTTAGTGTTGTCGTTCAATTCCAGCAGCTGACGGCAAATGTGGTTTGAGTTCTTCAGAATCTGATAAACCATTATGAGATTCTCCCACAAAAGCCGATATCGACTGCTGTACATTCTTAGAGATTTCAACCTAAGCTGATAGGGCAGATGAAAGAGGCCCCTACCGTTCTTGCTTGCCCTTCGTTGTGGAATCTCGTGAATCTCGTGTTTCTGCCTCGGCTGCCACGCATGGATAGCATATTCCACTTGCGTTAGCACATGACCACTAGGTATTTGGAAAAGATTGATGGTTCAAACCGACCGAAGGCTCTACGAAGCAGGTCGAAGTGTTGATTGCCGGTTCTCGTCGCCTTCTCTGCTTGTTTTGAACACCCGAGAGCTTCCTGTACCAGTACACCCAGGTCACGCTCATGGGAGCTCTTCTGAAACGTGTGATCTCCAAGTAAGCGCTCACCGACTAGTGACGCAGATGGATCATCTTGCACTTGGCTATGTTCGACCGAAGCAGGTTCCTCTTTGACCATTCATAAATGCTATCTAGGTCACGTTGGATTAGATCGTGATCTTCATTGTTACTAATCGCCAGCTATATCTTGACGTCATCGGCGAAAAGCAGAAAATTTGAGGAGATAACTCTTGCCAGGCTTTTGTTAAACACCAGGAATAAGCGCGGTCTCAGCACTGAGCTTTGTGGGACACCACCTTCCACCTCAATCGGATTAGAGAGTGATCACTAGCACGCACTTGAAGCTTCCATTAGTGAAGAAAGTTGCCATCCAACCAAGCACAAGATCACCGATTCCGTAGCTCAGCAGCCGGTGAAGTAGTCTGCAGTGATCCAGGCGGTCGAAAGCTTTGGCGGTCCCCACAGATGACGGCAACTCCGACCCCATCATCAGCCACTTCCGTCCAACTACCTCTTGCAATCAGTAGGTTGGTGGTGCATGACCGGTGTTGACAGAAGCCATGCTGCTTCGGTGCCATGATGTTGCATCTTCCCAAGTAGTCCATTAGAGCCTCAGCGATTACCGTTTCCATCACCTTCGCGAGCACAGGGAGGTGAGTCACTGCGCGATAGTTTACAGGCTCTGAACAGCTACCGCCTTTAAAAATAGGGGTGATAATGCCACACTTCCACATAGTGGGGACTTGTTGCTCATCAAAGCACCTTTGGAAGAACTGTGACAGTGGTTCAGCTAGCTTGTTGACCACAGCTTTCAGTGCCTTCGGGCGGATGTAGTCGGCTCCCAGACAGCTATGATCGCGCAGTGAGAGTAACTTCGCTAACACAATGGATGGTTTGAAAATTGCATTTGTAATCAATGGAGTCGGTAATGTGCGTGACATTATGGGACAGGTAACGGCTGCGAGTTGAAAACTAGGACGTATCGTTGCCGCAGGGCATTAGGTGCTTCTTCGGCGCTTTGTACTCTACCGCCTGTCGTGAAGAGTGGAGGGATGCCATGATTACTTTATGACGATTATTGACATGCCTACACAGCAGTTTGTTGTTTGCCAGGAATATTTTGGCTAGGAACTGTTGATAACTTAGTTTGTCCTCACTGACAAGTGCAGCGCAATGGTTGCGATGCGTCAGGAACTTGCCCCAAATATCTGAGTCGAGGTTAATCTTGTAGGCACGCCATGCTGCATCCCTTTTCGCCAGGCATTTTCGAATCCTGCTCCTTAGAATTGGAGGCATATTTGAGGGACGAGGGGGCTTGGTCTATGATGTTCTGTTGACGATGTCGCTGAGTCTATCAACGAAATCTGTTCAAACGTTGTCAAGAGGACTGCTGTTTGAGTATTCCCAAGCAGATGCGTCGACGAGTTCTTTCAAGACGTGGTAGCGTATGAGTGGTAGTGTATGAGTTAGTTCCGAGCGTTCAGATGGATACTCTGCATAACACACATAGTTGAACGTTATCACTATATGGTCACTGAGACCTAACGGACTATCCATCAATAATTTGTCAACCATGGGCTCTTCATTCATGAGCACAAGGTCCAATATGGACGGTTTGTTTGCTGTCCTGAATCTAGTGGGCATGGTGACATGATTGTACAAGGGAATATTAGCGATCAGTTCATGCAAGCACACCTTTGAAATGTTCACTGGGTGATGCCGACACATCCAGCTCGTGTAGATTGAAGTCCGCGGAGATAAGAATGTGGCTGTACTTAGTGCGTGTAACTGTTCAGGACACGTATCAAGTGGAATCCATTTCCGGAGTGGACGGTGGGGAGTGGTAAACGACAACTACGAGACACGCGTCATTGTATGTTAGTCGGAGACGGCAAAAGACAGAGTCGGTAAGATAAGTTTCCAAACCATTAACTATTGAACATTGCAGGTCGTTGCGGTAGTAGTGTAGGACCCCACCTCCTCTGCTGGGGCGGTCGTTCCGGATGAGTGACTTCCCGTCTATCTCAACTCAGCATCAGTCACCTCTTGGTGTAACCAAGTTCCGGTAATAAAAATTCGGTCCCAAGTATTCACAGCCTGACGTAGCCGAAGTTCGGTAAGTTTACTGAGGAGTCCTTAGGTGTTAGTGAACATAACATGAAAGTTTCTCAGATTTAGGTAAAGTTTCCGAAGTTGGGCAACTCATGCGCCAACCAGTGAGTTGCCGGCGACTAATCGTTTTTTCGATGTGTACTTAGAGAAGGGTTTAACGTCTTATTCATCCTTCGCGTAGTTAGTCTCATGTCTAATTTTCTACGTACAGTGTAAAGTGTCTGGTCAATATCACCAAGTTGGAACAAGGCAAAAGTGTGCTTGATTTAATACCGAAGGTAGTGAGCCAAATTCCCAAAGTTAATGTTAACCGAATGCTTTTGGATATACAGCAGGGTTGACGGTTCCGCCCAGAGTCAGGACTGAGGTCCAGAGCATGCAATGTGTAGGTTAGTGCAGTGAGAAGGGTCTGGTAGTTGAAATCACCTTGAATGGATCATTATACGGGGCGAACCTCTTATAGGAAGGGACATTCGGAGTTGTTCTACATCCCTTATCCGCAGACTCTGCGTGGGGCAGTGTTAGAAGACTTTGAATCGTCTGAAGAGTTGTTTTGTCATAACAAGTCCCAGTCACTAATAATGTACATCGGATTAGATTCTGCGTCACCAGTTCAGTCTATTCGGACACACCAGTAGCTAGCATTTGCAACTGTCTGGTGATCCAGCGGCCTAAATAGCTGCCTTGGGAAGAGAATGTCACTGGTCCGAGTTTCGCGGATTTCAATTTACGCGCATCTCATGGGTCCTAAAATGATGAAACGACTATCTAGCATTATACAAAATGTTTGTGGATGTGCTTTTATCTGGATGTGAAGAACCCCTTCGACAAATAAATAGATCTAACAACGTTTGCCTCGTGAGCTGCCTTGATCGGTAAAGTGTATACAAAACGGTTTACCAGGTTATCTGTTCCCCACAGAAAAAGTAGCCTGTTGATTGCACCGAATTTATATGATGGTTAAGAAAATATTTGCAATTTGCTTACTGTTGAAATTAATTATGTTAACAATCCTGAGTTGAAGCCTCTATTCGTGAAATTGACACGTAATCCGGCTTTTATGGAAGTAGAAAACTGCTTTCTCCTCTTAAATTCTATAGGATTTCGAGCTTCTCTTTTGGCATATTGTACTAAATGTATCTAGCGTAGCTACGAGCAGGAGTTCGAACGCAATGATCAGCAGTGAACACAATGAGTTTTATTACTCCGTGTTACCATCACCGAAATTGCGGGACTTTGTATGACCCGCATTCACACCGCCTCTTCATCAGTTGCAATGCTCATTAGTACTCAGAAGCAGAGTTCGAGGTCATTTGTTGTTCCTCTGTTTGCATTGGTTGTATCATGGCGCAACTTGATTGAAAACTCAATAGTCCTCATATGCAAGTTAGTATGCCTGTATGCTAGTACTGGGTCACATTAAATCCATCTTCTCAACCTTCTCTCTCCATTTGTGTGCAGTTTAAACAATTACAACCAAAGTGAACAAGTGCTCTACTGCAAAAAGCATTTCAACGAACTCGTTCTGGCGAAGAACACTCAGACACCGATTTGATCGATGACCATCTCACTGTCTTCCTCCGCGAACCGCATGCAGTTCAGAACCTTCTTCACATGTGCAATAGTCGCATGAAGCATTTGTTCTTTTGTGCTTATATAAACTTTACTAGATGATAAAAGATTAGAATACAAAATTTGCTCCCTTGTCAAAATGAGTGTCGAAAACCACTTAACAATGCAATCACATTTACCACAGTAGACAATTCCGTACACAAACTTATGACAAGACTATTGTTCCAATCGGTCAAAACCTAACCACTTTGTTATCGAGCCTGCAGTTTGAAAGAGTTTAACTGGCCAGTCCAGTTGATCCCACGTACTTCAGACCCCATCAACTCAGATGGTGCTCCCACTATGACGAGGAAAATCAGGCGGAAACAGGTTGGATTTGGAGCACTTTCAATCTGAACCACAAATAGGCTTGCGCTAAACTCTGTTTCAAGCACCGAGGTAGCGTCGGAGGGTGAAACGTCTTCCTTAGTACCTATTGAACTCCAAGACTTATTCCATCCTACTCAGAAGGCAGAGATAGTCGAAGCTACGGATGAAACCTTGGAATTCGCGGCAACCCTTATGTCACCGAACGCATCTAGAAATTTTTAGTATAAAGCACATGTTGTGGGATTGGGCTCCGATAAGTAACCGAAGGTTGAGCCGTGCTTGTTCAGTTTTGGTGGCTGAGATTTCAGGCATCCAGTGGTAGAACACCGTCCTGTTTTTCACTACGGTGCTTGCGGTAGTCTGCTATTTAGGCCTTTCGCACAGTGCTGCATGATGGCGTAGGCGTCATTTTCAGCGAATTCGGTTTCAGTGCTATAAAACTATTGATGCCACATTATATGCCCTTGGGATAAGTGCTAAAGTATAACAGGTGTTGGTGATTTTGATTTGGGTAGGCGTTATTGATGTATATTTTGACCATTTATCTGTCTACGGCCAAACTCTATGCGACTGTGCCTGTGGCCATGGTTGTGGCTGTGTGCTGGCATCATAGGTGCACACCTTGTGCCACCTGATTGGTGATCCTTCCACCTCCACCTCCTTTGTCTAGTTGTTTTGAAAGTTCAAATCAGTCGGCAATAAACTTTCGGACATAGACCTGCTGAGTAGGTCAGTAATAGCAGGCAGAATGATGGCTGATAAGGACTTGAGAATCGGGGGTGGAGCCCTTCAGGCTCAGTCGGCTTAGTGCCCTCGAGATTGTCGAGTAGCTGACGCACCTCCTTCAAATCACAATCCAGACTGTCGAATTCAGTATGGGTGGTGCACACCGAACTGGTTACAGATGTCTGGTCCGCTGCAAACACAACAGCAAAATGCGCCCCCCATGCGGAAGCACACTTAGTGCTGTATATCAGGGGCTGTCCGTTCTCGTCTTGTATCACTGGTACGTTACTTGTCGGCCTCAGGCGCCGCTTCACGTATGTAAAGATACTTTTTGGGGTGGATTTGTTGCGGTTGCAACGAGGCTAGACCTTAAGGTGGTGCGATGGCTTGTGTACCCTTGACCAAGTGGGCCACGCTGGGTGGCACTTTCAAGTGCCTTCAGAGTCACTTATACCAGACACGTCACTGGCTAGGAGTTAGACTAACTGAGTCTCACAATCGCCCAGCTGCCTTGCTTGCAGGCTATTTTTCCAAAAGCTCTGGGTGGAGTCCCCCAAGACAACCCTACTTTGGCTTGAGCAACCGGATAGTATCACGCCAACTGACAAAACCATGGACTGTTCAACTACGATATCGTTCTCATCTGCTTTCGCTCCTGCTAGTCACTCATCTTCGCACGCCACCAGCTCATTTGTCATCAATCAGTATTAGCCGTTACCAAATGTTTCTTTTTTCCATGATTCCACTCCCAATGATTTCGTCGACGCCCCAAGAGCTCACCTATCCGCATTCCTTCGGCCTCTGTCTTCGTTCCGTCTGACATGCTTCAATTTTCCATACACCCATGCGGATCGGGCAGCAAGCTGGTCTTGCGCAAACTCTGAAATTCCTCGCCATCGCTGTTTCATGCCTTTCCGCAATGCACTTACAAGCTCCGAGACTGTGATTGAGTTGAAATCTCCCACCGACCAGGGAGCCATATTTCACCTACGTCTATCTTTTGACGCAGAAGCAGTTGTGGCAGGCTTGGCTGGCGTTGTTATAGCACTAAGTCGTGAAGCCGAGGCAACAGTGCTGGACTAGTTCCCGATTAATAGCCGACTGTGTACTGTTTGGCTTCGGGGATCATGCGAGATAAATCGAGGTAGTGAGGACAGACGTAAGTTGTTTGTCACCTCTGCTTGCGCCCCAACTGACTGCAGTTCCGATAACGTCAAGGATGATTTTTACAGCGAACTTCACCAGCTCCTGAGCAGAGTATGCAAATCCGACACTTTTGTCCTTGTTAAGGATCTCAACGCACGGATTGGTCGTCTGCTGGCATGTGAAAGTCACCTCGGTGGTCACCGTACGCTCAATGAGAGACGCTCAGATAATGGAGAGACTCCTCACACTGTGTGAAAATAATCCGCTTTTTCTCTCGTGCACCAACTTTCGACATTCGCCGAAAAAATCCACTACTTGGCGACCCTTTTTTGTATCTCATTCATAGTCAGATTGATCATATCACAATGAGTTTCAGTTGGAGGGGTAGTGTAAAAGATGGCAGATCCATCTGGTCGACTTTTCTTGACCCAGACAATGCTCTTGTCTGTACGGAAAGCTGCATGAACTTCGGACGGTCCTCGAAAATGAAGCGCTAAAAGATAGACACAAATAAACTATCTACTGGTTCGATTCAGCAGAGTTATCAAGCTTTCCTGGCTGATGCACTCGGCTGCGACCCACCGCAAGACATTCAGAAACACTGGACGTGAATGCAGAGGACCATGATCGCTTCCGAACATCAAGTCTGTTGTCTAACTCAGCACCATATGAAGGCCTGGATCTCCACGTGCTCTTTGGATTTACTTGACCGCAGCAGAAATATCCCAGCAGAGTCTAATCTTGATGAAGTGCGCCGTTCTGTCAGTCGGCAAGCCAACCATAGCCTACGCAGTGACTGTGAAGTCTGGTGGTCCTAGTGTGCTTCAGAAATGGTGACCGCTGTTCACTCTGGCAATACTCACAAGCTCTTCTAGCTCATTCGATTCAATGGCCACAGAAAGCCTGGTATCAGTTAGACTATATGCGAAGCAGATGGTTAGCCGATTGCCAACTTACAGAGACGCTTGAACCGATGGGCGGAACATTTTCATTCCCAGTTCAATTAACCCTCATCCTCTAATTATATCCGCTGTGAATCCAGCTGCCCGTCCTGGATCGTGAAACTTGATCCACCCAGGGAAGCGGAAGTTTGTCATGCGATTCGAAACATAAGACGATTCAAAACTGCCGGCGCAGACGGACTTCCTCAGGAGGTGTTCAAATATTGAGGCTCAGTTATCATTAGCTAGCTAATCTCGTTGTTCTTCAAAACCTGGCATGAAGTAAAGGTGCCTTCTTCCTGAGGAGAGCCACTTATTGTCCAGGTTTTTCAGAAGGGTGCTCGCACTTCGTGTACCAATCAGCGGGGGATTAATCTCATTTCGTTTGCCACCAAGTTAGTGGCATCCATTCTACTCAGTGGACTATCTCCCATTCGCGAATCGCAGTACCGGGAAGAAGAAGCTGGCTTCCGACCTGGCCGTTGGTGTGTGACAGATATTCACACTCCGTCAAGTCTTGGAATACCGCCACCTTTACCAGAGACCTGCCATCGTTGTATTCCTGGACATCTGCTTCTCATTCGACTCAGTTGACCAACCTGCACTTGGCGTTGTTTGCTAAGGAATGGTGTCCCAGTAAAGTATACTGCTATCCTTCGCGCACTGTTTGTCTACATCTCCGGCAAAGTGAGGGTGTATGGCAGGCTTTCGTAGTCCTTCCCTGGCATTAGCGGTGTGCGATAAGGCTGCCCTATGTCCCCTTTTCTCTTCAATTTTGTGATTGAAGACATCCTGTCGACAGCTCTGGACGGCTGCTAAAATTTTGGTATACAACTATTACCGGGCAAGCGAGCTACCGATTTAGATGATACCGATGATATCGCCTTAGTTGTCGAGGACTCACAGTGCAAGCAAACCATACTAGACCGCTTGGCGATTGAGGTATCTAGATACGGAATGCGTTTTACTTCGTCAAAGTTTATACTGCTGCTTCCGAATTGGCACCCAACTGTTCAGGTGCTCAATATTGTAAGTACACAGCTTGAACAAATGGATAGTCTTGTCTACATTGGCAGCTGTGTGTTTGCTGGTGGTACCAGTGAAAGAGAATTTTCTCTTCGCATCGCCAAAGTTTAGGCGACGTTTGAAACCTGCAGCACTTGCGGCGTTGCTGGGATATTTCCCTCTTGGTAAAGGGTCGTTGTTGTGTGTTCAGGGTTTCCACGCAGCAGCTTCTATCTTGCGTCTCGCGATTCAAAAGACAAACCACTGGACAAGTAGTATATTGGTGAACACAGAACCGGCCGACAGGGGATGAAAACAACACACCGATAAAGTTCGAACCACAGTTGTGTGCTCGTTTGATTTTATAGGTCTCAAGAAGCAAGGGACATGTGAGTGATGTGAAATGAGCGATAGTAACAAATGTTCTGCAACACGGCAAAAACACCAGTTTGCTTGGAAATGAGACTGTTCTGATATAAAACACGGTTAATTGTGGGGAATTGTGCACTTACCTTCCTGAACAAGACAATTTGTTCCGTTTCTGTGAGCCTTTGACTTTGATCTGTGTGGAATTCCGTTTCTTCATGCAAATTAAAAGATTCGGCCAGAATCATTGAAGCCAACTGGACTTGGGTCTTGGACAGTGCGATTTTCTTCAGAGTAGGCCGCTCGAGACCTAACACCATCCCCTTGTTGACATATTTAGACCGCTAGTTGTATAGATTTTCCTTCAGGGGTCGACTTGTAAGGTTTGCTCGCATCTTTTGTTCCGCTTTGGCCTTACTCAGTTTTTACTTTCACTCCGTTCCACGTGTTACGTATCCTGTGGTCGAGGTGCTTGGGGGCAAAGAGTTTAACGACTCGTTGAAATCAATTCCTTTGGGGTCGCGCGTCTCTGGGATCCTAGTAAACCGCGGTCGCAGTTGGTTGGCATAGCGAACCCATACTTGCCT